GACGAATTTCAAGGAGCTGGGCACCAATTGACGTTGCAGTTGTCTATGTCAATTGCGGACCATCCGCAGACCGATGGCCAAAGTGAGCGCGTGAATCGATTCGTTGAAGACGTTCTTCCCAGCGCCTGAACTGAGACGCCGAGGCGCTGGAGCGCCATGCTGCCACTTGTAGTGTTCGCTATGAATAATGCAGTGCATGCATCTACCTGCTACACGCCGTTCTACGTGGACTGGCTCGTTCATCATCGCGTCTCGCTGACGACGCCATTCCTTGGCTCAGGGCTTGGTGGAGGAAGTATAGTCAAATGGCTAGCTGATGTCAGCCCCCTCATTGTCCGTAATGAAGTCGATGACATCCTGTATACTAGACTAAGTCTCTTACGACATATTTGCGATGCGATGGCTAAAAGCCAAGCCATGCAGAAAAATTATGCAGACGGAAGAAGCAGAAGAAAAGCTGAAAACTTTGATGTCCAAGACCTGGTTTTATAAAATGCTAAAGACCTTCCTCCACTTGCAGTCTCTGCTGTCTTCTAGAAAAAGCTCCGTTCACGGCATGTTGGACCTTTTAAGGTCGTGACCAAGCGAGGCCTTGCGTATAGGCTGAACCTTCCGAGAAGGATGCGCACCCACCCGGCGGTTTCCGTGGGCTTGCTTAAGCCGGGATCCGGCGCAAGTTGGCGCCCGGTAAAAAGTTTTTGAGCACGGAGCGCAACAATTTCCGTTTCCAACGGCGCAAGGCGCTCCACCGTCTCACGAAGTGATGTATTCGTCTGTACGACGGCTAGGAGCCGCTCCGACAGAGCACGGTAATCCTCAACGTGAGGCAGTCGGTGCACAGAGTACTTCAGACTCTCGAGGCCTTCTGCACAGCGGTGTGCAACCTCGGTAAGATGCAGGGCGGAGTGCCGATGACGACGGACTTTGTCCTCCAAAGCTCGAAGAGCATCGCGAGTCACTGGACGGCGATCGACCAAGTTGTTATCATACGCTGCCGACTCTTCTCGATGAGAATGGTGGCGTCTACTATCACGTGGAACGTCTTGTGGGTCGACGTCGTTGACAGGGTCCAATCCAACTTCTTCTGAAGTGGGGGAAACCCAAACTCGTGGGAGACTGCGGCAAGACTGCCCAGACGTCGTGGACGCTTATGATCCAAAGGTTCATGACGCCCCGCGTCGTCGTGCGCCTCGCATCTTTTGGCATTAGCCCGGAAAGCCGAATGGCCATGAGCTGAGCTCAAGCTACGACCTTGATATGCTGTGGTCGAAGATTAACCCGTGTGAGAGATCACAGAGATCGCGAGAGCGTGATAGATGAGTTCATGTGTCGCAGAACAACAATGTGCAGAAAGTCGGTGTTGCGCCTTGAGTTTGGTAAACTCAAATCGGAGATGGCGCTCTACGCGCACGTCCACCTCCTTATGGCTCCGTTGTAAGTTTGACATCGAGGAAAGATTTAAGTGCCGCTGCACCTATCGCTCAAAGAAATCTTTATCAGCTGCAGCGGTTTCGCCAAGGGCGAGTACCACAGTAATAGTCCGCATTGCGGGTACAGAAGCGCCTTCTTTTTGATTTCGAAGTCGAGCGCGGTACCAATTCATTGGGATTTCTTGAGGTATCAAGAAGCGAGCTCGGAGAGATTTCCGCTGGTCAAGATCAGCTTGTGTGATGGCCAGGAGCCCGACTACGTTGGCGCCTGTCGACCGAGTGATCTTCTCTGCTCTTCTCATCTCTTCTCATCTCTTCTCATCTCTTCTCTTCTCTTCTCTTCTCTTCTCTTCTCTTCTCTTCTCTTCTCTTCTCTTC